TTTTAAAGTACAACTAGCAACAAAAACTTGTCAAAGGACTTGAAAGTACCATTGATCACGTGTTCATTCTTGGTCAAGAACTTCTGTTCACTTGTTTACCATCACCAGGGACTTACCAGAACACAAGGGGAAACTGCATCATGATTCTTCTACAACACAACTCATAAGATATGGTAAAAAAAATTTGATACATAACATCTTGGCAGGTAAAGTTCAAATAACATATTACCTCAAAACAGGAGGATCTCCTTGTGTTTGGCTTGTTGAGTGTGCTGTTGCCTCTTCAAGATGATCGTACCAGTAGAGGACTCTGTATGAAGTCCAATCGGCTCATCAAGAAGAACTTCAGCATAAATTTTTCATTTATATATGTATATATATATATATATATATATAACTGGGAAGTATAAAGCCCTGTCGGAAGTACAACCATAAGAACGGAGAGATATGAGTAAAACCTATATCTTCAGCTGAGTCAAACCCACGACTACACTCTCGCGTTATCCACCCTCAGCTCTGTTTCAATCCTATCTGCGCTATACTTTCATTTTTCTCAAACAAGAGTTATTACGTGTTGCACTAAGCTGTTACTACTTTCTTTTCGCTTTTTATGAGCACTTCAACACACTATAGTAGAAAAGCTGTGGTTCGCAATTGCAAGAGAAAACATTCGAGATAATTAATCATATTTGAATTTGGCCTCAGGAAAGAGCAAAATCTACTTACAATGGATCGTTTATCTGCGACAGGAAAACATTAAGCCCCGTTAGAAGTAAAACATTATTCATAAAAAGGCATAAGAAGGCCATTCGTCGATGTTAGATGAACCTAAGGGAAAGTTAGTAGCAAGTTCAAAAGCAGTCGAAGTTCCTAGTCTTGCTCATAGCTCAGCATTCTTGTAGTTATATCTAGAATGCACTCTTCCATCCAAACGAATAGACAGCAGATAAGTTTAAAATATTTTGCCCGAGATATTATGAGAACTATCTTTTGTATCACCCTTTATGTATATCCATTATGCAAAAAATGTTAATATCGTCGAAACTAAAAGTCGTAAGAGTCGTACTTTGGGGACGGAGTTGCGCAATGGTTAGTGATAGAGTGTACAAAAAGTAAAAGTGATAAGCAAGGCGTTGCTTCGATCTCTCTCTAAACTCGCTTTCAGTCAATCTGCAAACGCTTAAGTGAATGTTTTAGCTCGGCTACCTTTGAGATTGAAAAAATTATGGTCCGACCAGCATTCTACGATAGTCATAAAGAAGACGAAATTCTAAAGCAACAGCCGAACCAATAAATAAGATATTCCACGACCATTGTCGAGGATAATGCGAGGAAACAAAGCAAATGTTAGAAGAGCTGGGCTTCGCACAGTAACAGTTAACTGTGATAAGGGATCATGTACTTGAAAAATAACTTTATTCGTCAATCAAAGAATGAATGAATTTATAGGTTTAGGCAATTGCTATCGTAGGTGCACTAAGAACTGCTTTTTCATCAAGCTTTTCTCTCTTGCATGAAAAAGAGGCCAATGATGTTACATTAACTCATAAAAGGTGCACCTCTGCACAGCCCTTGTCACTATGCGGTACACTCGCTCGATTGAGAAGATACAGACCCATAAGAAGATACAAAATTTCCAATCTACGTTTTTACAGTGAGATCATTTTCGTTTCAAGAAGTACTAGTGCACAAAAATGATGTTCAACAGCTCATCACAGCGACAAAAACAGTACGGCTGCCTGCAGACAAAAAATCAAGAAAATCTGTGGCTTTTTTCTTAAATGGACTATTTAGAGCCGAGAAAGTCAATTAAAACAATATAAAAGAAGAGTAAAATAGAACAGGAATAGCATGCACTTCGTTTAGCTCTCTCACAGAGGCCATCGCTGTGACGGCGTGCACGTGACCAATCTGTGATGATACTGTTTCGTAATGAGTGCATACAATGTGCTAGGGACCGTGAAATTACTAGGGAGACTTGAACAATTATCCTTTTGAGTAACAAGCGTTGACATGCCGCTGATTTCTTCGCGGTGAACCAATAGCAAGTTTAAAATGATTAGCGGCATGAATGGTATAAAACGTCTGAATAAAAAATCAAACCATTCGAACAGAAGACCTTACTGTAGTTTGAGAGACCGACTTTCAAAGAACCTTGACATCATTGGTAGATTTCTTGAATCGGACGAATTGCTTTTGTTTTAATAATGCGAAATTGCTAGCAGGTAAGCGGAAACTTGATGGCGGACGATTCAGCAACTTCGCCTTTTTTGAGACCTGGCAATGAGCCGTTCGAGACGGCGAGTACTTGTGCTGGTGGACGAATGCGTGCTGACTTTTTCATGGACAAAGCTTTTCCCTCAAACTTCTAGTACATTTTCGATAGCTCGATCTCGACTATACTGTATTTGAAGCTCGAAACTGCCTTCATAAAGTGCTGTAACGGCGAAAACAAAATCACGCTTCACCTTCAACGCGCATTTTTTCTCGGCTGTATTTTATGGATGACTTTTCATCAGAGTTGTAGAACTTAGTCGATAGCTTAACAAACAGTGATTATGAAACTTGGTTTGGTTTTGAAAAGATCTCTATATCGTGAAATTAGTACTACATTCGCACTAGAGATATGCGCGTGAAGTACATGTGACCATGTAGAAAAATCGTGTTTTATCTGAACAAAAAAGAAATTTTGAAAAATTTTTTGAAACAGAGGAAATGTTCTAAGGAGAAAACGAAAATTGCGTTCTTTCGGAACAGTAGTCGAAATAGCTGCGCTTAGCGCTATTTGAGAGGAGCGTTGCTTTTACCATGTGTTTAGAAGTCTTTTCTGTTTCGAAAAATTTGTTTACACATTAGAATTTCAGGAGAGACGTCGTTCTATCACCCTATAGACACTAGCTTTAATTTTCATCTCATATTGCCGCAATCAAACTCTGAAAAAATTTCACTACTTCGACTATGATACATAAATCTTTGCTCTCACTTACAGTCTTTTGAACTTTTTCTTAGAAAATCCAATCTTAACTTCAAAATTTTCAAGAGTTGAGCCATCGAGTGACTGCTAAAAGTGAAGCAAAAAGCAATTTACAGAACCTATTACAGCGTGAAACCGTCGAGGTTTGATGTATGGAATACTTACTAAAAGTCTGAGAGAAAATCTCTGCCCAGCAAAAGACTATGAATAATTGTGTACCACTACAGGTACACACTATTTCGAACAGGTTGACTTCCAAAAACACCCTGGTGACAACTCGTCAGTTCAGCAAGATTGAAGTTGATGCTAATACAATTTTATGTTGTGATGATAGTTTTATGCAAAGATCAAATAGTACTATTAGCGTCATTACTTGATCATGTCAGCATATCTCTCAGGTCTCTTCTGTGAGAGCGTAATGACAAGATTCGTCATATTCATAAAATCTTCATTTATCGACTTCTTTGAGCCATTTCTTCTGTAGATGACTTATTTCTATCGATCAACAGAACAGGAGTGAGCGGAGTCTTTACTACGAAAATTAGTCGATGTGAAGATAAAGTGATGTAATGAAAGAGATCACACGCATGTATTACTCCTATGGATTGCTCCTAGATTCATCGCTGACAACCTCCTCAAATTTTTCTAACAGTCTAAAATATTGAATTCTTGAGACTATCATCAAGTGATTTCCGAAGAATGTAATGTAATGTTTGGAGAACATCAGTCATGTCACGCTAAGCTTGAATTTGTTAGTACAGCAACGATATTTCAAAATTAGCAACGCTTCAACTTATATGAACTACCTACTCTCCTTCATAGTATGGAATGATGTAAAATGCAACTAAGTGATAGCGGTAATGGTGATAATGATAGTGATAATAATAACAGTGGTGATGGTGATAGTGACAATGATAGTGCCAGCTTCCTAGTAAGTGGTTGTCCATACCCACGGCGTACTCTCCTCTGCCTTTGTTGTGACTCTCAATTTTCCCACGGTCTCAATCGCCTGCCGGGACGGCGGCGAAGGCGCCTGCTGCAAGAGGCTCGCAGGCACAACCACAGTTTCGCACAAAGACGCAGATGCCCCAGCAAGCGAGTGCCGCGAACGGGACGGCGCGACGCCCCCTGCCTATCAACGTGGGCGCCAAACTGTTGATAAGGTCTATAGCTTGATTTCATGGTACTTTACTGTGGTTACAGTGAAGCCAGCAACTCAATAAGCTAATTGAGTATTCGACGGAAAAGATGGCAAGGTGGAATAATGAGTAATGATCAACGTTTCATAGCTCTTCAGCTGTTTTTTTCAAGTACCATGACTATTAAAAACCGGAGTAGTATACTAAAAGATAATTTCACTGGTACGAAAAGTGTTCTATCTCTCGGGAACCACTCACAAAGCTTAGACAACCAAGCATTTTCTAATCATCTTTCGTGAATTTTTGATACATCACGGTGCACCATCAAATTTTAATTACTAGTTTTCAATGAATTGTTTCCGAATTTCATCCTTAACCATCGATTTGGTCAGAGTGTTTGGAAATTTGACCTTTCGAAGCCAAGAAAAGTTTAATTAGAAGAGACCTAATTTGTTCTCAGTTACCTGTTAAAATGTAAAGAAGGAATGCCTTGAGAGTTCATTTCAGCACCTCGATAAAAATTTAAGAATGGAAAAACTTTCTGCAGTTTAACTCAGTTGACTTCATGTCAAGATCCATCAAAAATTCACCTCGAGCAAGTTGACACTTTTCTTCCTTGAGTCTTGAGGTGATTTCTTAACAACCTTGGTTACACTGCCTATTTAAGATCGTTTTTGATCTAAACTTCACATCATCTTGGTTTTTCGGCCAGAAGTGAATAGTAAATTAAGGGGTTAATATTGAATGATTACTCATCTTATTCAACCGCCTCTAGCGGTGGTATGATGTTATAAATATACCCATTGCTGTATAACGATGTGTAAAACTTTTTCCGTCAATGAAACAGATAGATGCGTTGTAGCGTAGAAAGAGTGGCATCAAAACACGCGACGGTAGTGCAACGGTACGAGCACGCACGCCCGTGATAGCGTGAGATTTGGGTTTGAGTCCCAACTTACGCAAAGTGCTTTGCACAAACTCTACATCAGTGGGTGTAGGAGGGTAGCGATAGTGCACTATATTCATGCAAGACTCTTAGGTAAAGGAGTAGCAAAGACTTCACTTTGTATAGGTTGTTGAAATTTTATACTTTGCTCGTTCAATGGACAAGTTTGGCTTCAACTAATTCATTCCTTACATACGCCAACGGTTAAAAAGATTTACTTACTAACAATGTTTTCCAATTAATGCGCTCAATGATGGATTTTCGTTTCCATGAGACGGTGGCTACTGCCGAGAAAAAATTCAATTCAATTGAGCTCAATGTCAAGGCTCGAATCACTCTGTTCACCACACGTTGCCACATTTCTCTTGACCAATTTGCCATGATAACGTTTGTAGTCTGCAAGAATCTATTTTCTGTCAAAATAATGTTTATGTGGACAAAATATAGTTCAAACCGTGAGAGTTCCTGAAATTGTTAAGTATTGGTTAGGAACAGGCTGGACTTCCTTAATTGGATCTGCACCACCGATCATGCACATATCCATCTCGTTGCATATTCCAGTCACTGTATTGCCAAATACTACGCATTTCCCTGGCATATTGTCCACAGCTACAAACAATATAATTACCCATGCTTTTGTTTTCACTCAGAAACGAGTAGCGATGAGAATCAATTTTTAACTGTAATTTTTTTCTTTATTCAATTAACAATCAATGTGCACTTGTCTGTAAAACGGCGGGTCATTCTAAAACTTTTCGTGAAGTAGTTCAGAATCAGTAGTTGAACAGTCTAATAGATTTCTAATTGAAACAGCTCCAACTTTGTCAATGACGGGAACCTTGTTCTAAAGAAAAGTGTGCTTTCAGTCGAACAAGAGTCGTGTTTTTTTCTATGCTGAATTTATGCTCTTCATCTTATATATTCCCAAGAGAATTGAGTGGTGAGCAAAAACACGACCTCAGGCGGGAATCGAACCCACGTTTCATCCTATCCGGGGACGCGTGCTCTACCACTACACCACTGAGGCACATTTGCCCGACCACTCATTCTTCAACATCTCAATGTTAGGTATGTCAATGTCTCTTTGTCTTATTTGTATCTTTTTATGCTTCAACCTCTGCATTTTTCAGTGCTACTCAACATATTTATAGTAAACTTAGCACAAAACTCACAATCTTAATTGATGTAGGTTCGAACAATTCTAGAAAAAATTTCATAATTTAATTTCAGATCCAGGAAACGGCCCATGAATCGCTTTACAAAAGGCAAATTCATAAATTTTTTTGAAGCAGAAACGTTAATTATTCTCACAAGTCAACCAAACTGCATAGCAAGAGCCAATGTAGTAAATGTGTGCTTGATCTTTGATAGACAGTTTACACTCCATTGGCAAGAAATGAAACGTCTATGTGTTAGAGTAAATATTTGCCGCTCACACACTGAATCTACTGAACAGATTTTACATGATAGTTACCACGATCTGCGCTCCTACAGCTGGGCTAACTTCTACGCCTTTGCATTCCAGTGGTGTGTAGCTTATGTTGACTGTGAGCTGACTTAAAATGGTTGCGATTAAGGCGTCGGGAAGGCCAGCGGCACGCCCTTGTTGTTCGAGAACATGATGCACCTGAAGAATGGTGTTTTCAATAACTGGTAGAGTTTACATGAAGGTATTTATCGAAACTATATAGAGTCATAGAACCGTTTTATAATCAAAATTCCAGCAATTTTTACAACAAATGAAGGTTTCATTCAACGCAACCAGAAAATTGCCAAATCACCGCTTGCATTACAGTACGCATTACAAATCCTCTGGCTGCGTCTGCACTTGCCGAAATTCCAACGACGCGAGCAGCTACACCAGGGTCCGTGGAGACCACCATAGCTACTGGTAAGGAAAAGCCGCTAACATTGAAAGTCCTTGAGCTCATTGTGGCTAAATTTCACGGCTTTTCGAGTGAGCAAACAAAAATCAAAAAAGTTAATCTTTTAAACGGTGGGCAGAAAAGTAAATGAAAATAAATGATAATGATTAATGGCGGTTTAATCTCATGATTTGGTGCTCATGTTGTTGCTACTATCTGTTTAAATAATACGGCTCCGCCACTACTGTTCTATAAGCCAAACTATTTGTTCAAAATGGTGATCTACTATTCTTGAACTGCAGTGATGTAGTAGTGGTAGTGACATTACTGAGCTTCATAAATGTTTGTTCATGTTTCTTAGTATTTGCAAAAGAAGGTCATTCCTGAAAAGAACAAAACAACTGTCTTATAACCCTTTCAAGCCACCAGTCGTAATCACCACGCGCAGTACAACGATATTCTACAATTTTCTCTACACACTCTATGCTTTTAGTGGAAATACAGCTTTATATTTGATTAAAAAGCTCTCTTTCACTACGCTATCATAGTGATAATGGCATTCTGTCAGTTGTAATGAATTTTTCGGAGGATATAATGATGTAGACCTCTCAGTTTTGATGGATTTTATTATATACAGTACTTAGAAGTTATAATAGCGACTGGAAATAGAAAACAATGATAACTTTGCCCATAAAAGTTGCTCCACAGTGCACGCGATGCCAAATCATCGATAACTCTTACCACAGCTAAGTCTGCTACTCTTCCCGTATCTTCATTCAAACTCAAAAAAAACCTGTTTTTAGCTCTTCTTGGAAGTAGGAATGGTGTACTTTATTTTTCAAATGGCCTTTACATTGCGCTGTGAAGTAAAAATAATATTTTACCTAAAATGCAACATCTTTCGCTGATAAAAGCATTTCCTTAGAAAATTCAGTAGCGATTTGATAGCATAAATTTCAATACATTTATTAGCGTTTCTAGTTTTTTCAAAAAATATATTCAGTGTGATGCAATATCGAAATCAAGACTGCATTTCACATGCAGCCCGCATACCTTGTACCGGTGAAATAAATTTCGCAACATTAGCCTTAAGCTATCGTCTTTCTATTACCAGTCGGTAGCTAAGTTCAAGAATTTCAGTGGTGTGTTTGTTTTTCAAAGGAAATCTTCGACGCGTTGTAGCTGCACATTCAAGCACTTATCGCTGGACACAGCTTTTCTCTCAGACATTTAATAAGCACTCAACAGCAAAAACCTCAACGACTGCAATATCATGTTTGATTTTCAAGAAAGGCCTCCTAGTGCATTGTTAGAGTCAAGAAGAACATAGGTATTCGCTCTCGGCACGCATCGCGCGCCACATATAAATTGCTTTGCGCGATCGACACGGCGCCGAGCGCAAAATTCAATAGTCATTTAGCTGTAACAACGCAATAAAGGGTATTTCTAAAAAATCAAGCATATCGTTTAACTTACTGAAATTTGTGCTATCGATTGGTTTCAAAAGGCTTAATGAAAGGCCGTGCCCATCAAAGGATGCTTGAGTGTAAGATAGAATTTCATTTTCACCATCACAGCATAATATAATTCAAAAAAAAGAATAATTCTTTCAAATTTTTAAGATTCAAGCTACTGAATGATACCAAGATGTCAAGAAGTATGAGATTTGTTTTTTTTATGATGTGTATAGGGGAAAAGTATATTGAGTTTCCATAGCGTGGACTCGTTTATTTCTAATCATTCGAAGTGCTTTGTAGTACTGCGTACTAAAATCCGTACCACATGAGCTTTTTGAAAAAGTCATAGATTGAATAAATTGTGTTTTCATTACAATTTTGAATACCGTCAATATATAGAAGTAAGAAATAGAATTGCGTTGTTTCTTTATCACGTAGCCTCAGCATTAAAAAGTTGGGATTTTTTTTTGAGAAAAAAATTTTCTATGGAGCCTCCAATAACATATCATTCTTTCTGATCAACAGATGTCTTCAGCATACGAATTTTGATATTCAAATTCTAATACACCCACTGCGAAGTTGAAGCGACGACCTAATTACTCAGAGTTTGAAACGTGATATTGATTTCCTTGCTACAGCGCGTTGAGATCAAAACAATACAAAACCAACTTAGTCTTTAGCATTGGACTTTTTAAGCGATCGAATGACAATCAAATTTCTACTGTAAAGCCAAGTATATATCAATGCATGCGAAGCACTCTGAAAGCAAGCGTGATTTCTGTTTGCCGCTACTACAGCGCAGTAAACAGTTCCGGTTAAGAGTTGAATAGAAATTCAAGCTCATATTTGGAATTTCTATTTTTCGAGCTATCGAATGACTACTATAGCTCTAGGGAAATAACTTTGTTCGGTAGAAAACAATGCAGATATGAGTGCATTACACCATACTCTCAAAAAAAAAAAAAGATTTTCTTTTCGGTTCTGCAGCTCTATAAAAAGCGTTTTTGAAAACTAAACACACCATCAGAACCGCAATTTTTCAGCTGTCGAATGACTGACACCTCATTGAAAAGTCTTTGCTCGATGGAAAAACCCTGACAATGCGTGTACCATGAGTGGTACAAGTGGTCCTGAAGGGGTTAAATACCTTTCTCACCTGGAAGTGTTCCACATCCCAGCACTACAGTGATGGTGAGCAGAGGAAACAGAAACTGAAGTGCCTGAGCTTTCGCCATGTATACCAGACTGGCCATATTTAACGTAAATAATTCTAAAGAAATTTATAAACTAACACATCTCGCCATGATTAATTAACGTTAAATTTCTTGTTTTCCTCATAAATCTTATTTGAGCCAACTTGTCATGTGGGCTGTTAAATAGGCTATTTTACAGCCCGATACATGTGTTTTGACCTTAACAGTTTCGTCAATGGGACAGAACCATTCGTCTTTTAGCCAATCCTCTCGCGGTGCTCCAGTCCCGACACTAAGAGTAGGCGACGACGAACGATTTACACTGCACTGCCGTCAAGTGAAAATCACCAGATCGGCAGTGTTGTACACTCAATTCTTCTTTGGCTGGTATTTTGAGATATATTATAAGCCGTTCGTTGTCGCCTACTCTTAGTGTGGGGACTGGAGCAACCGCGAGAAGACTGGTTAAAAGACGAAGGGTTCTGCCCTATTGACGAGACTGTCAAGGTCGAAACACGTGTATCCAGCTTATAGAAGAGCCCATAACCGATTACATGAAATGTTGGCTCAAATAGGGTTCCTTAAATATGTGGAAATTTGAGCATGGTCTTGAGAAAACACTCGAAACGAGCGGAATGATATATTTCCTACTTTTCGTTGTATTATTGAGAAAACTAGCGATAGGTTATTCACACATCTACTGGCTTGTGACTGTATGGCATAAACAGTTCAGGGGCCTCTTATTTTTCTAATGTTCTACGTACTCTCAAACTGCTCAAGCCAGAGCGAAATTCTCGAATCGTCCTTTTGAATACGATAGTTACTGGCGTTGAGGAATTATTTCGTTCGAGGGACGTCAGAAATAAGAAATGAAAAATGGGGTATGTCAAATGTTGGATGAGAGCAGCGTGCGTGATAACAATAATTTATCAAGAGAGCTGAATATTCTGCACCGCCCATCGTGTCTTTATTACTCGATTTTAGATAGCACATTCCACGCGCATGTGAAAATTGACAGGGTGTCTAGTGTGCGTGGAAAATTGTTATGAAGGCGGATAGAAAAAAGAAGAAAACTTTTGCCTAGGAACATTCATAGCTGCACTCTTTCAGTATCTCTTATTCTGTTCTAGTACACTGCAAATACGATGCCCTTTCTTCCGGTCACACGTCGTTTACATAGCCAACGGGGATCTCCTGCAGGATTTTAACACATCATCGTGCTTTTTGTGGTATCGGTAGAATTCAGTAAGATGAGAAAAGAACCTAGATGACCCTGAAAGAGGCGATCGCACCGACAGAGAACTCCGGCTTCCTTGCCACTTTTCGTGATGTTTCCGGTATTCAATGGAAATGATGTTCAGAGAGCTATCTCAATCTCTGAATTTCTCGTTAGCACAAAGAGAAAACTAAATATTAGTTGGCATTTTGCATAGCGAGGCAGTCATTCAATTTGGCTAGTAATTGCTTCAAATATGGATTCTATACTATGCAACATGGCCGATATAATTCGTGAAAATAGACCATAATGATGTGGTGGTTCGAAACTGCGCAACATGTATGATCCATCGAGGAATCCACTGCATCCATGTTTGCCGAAGGCTTTATATTTATGCCTGGTAATCACTTTTGAGCCACGCATGGTCTTAAGCTGTGGTCTTAAGAAAACACTCGAAACGAAAATTATGATATATTGAATATAGTAGCCAAGAGCAATCGAGTGTACAACACTCTGTTTTGGTGAGTTCCTCATGGACATAGAGTGTAAAGCGTTCGTGTCGCTAATTCTTAGTGTAGGGACTGCAGCACCCACACAGGATTGGAAAAAGACGAGAAAGGGTATTGCCGATGACGAGATCGCAAGATCGAAACACCTGTATCGGGCTCCATAAATCAGTCCTCTTTGACAGACCACTGACATGCGTGGATCAAAAATGATTACCACGCATATTCAAATTGGAGCTGTGGTCTTAAGGAAGCACTCGAAACGAGCTTTATATTCACATCATTTTGTGACCAGCCTTTCGTTACTAAGTCCTTTAGTTGTCGCGTTATCCCAGTAAACTTACCAGTGTACTTTTGTATTCGATTCTCTGCAAAGATCTACCGTATAGACTACGTTGGCTATTAGAACAAGAATAATACAACACTTATCGTCCGCATATGTTTTCACCGAGGACTTGAACGTTCATGTCACCATGCGCGTAACATCTTCCGTGTTGTTGCCCTTCGGAAATGTAAACATGTTCTCCATGAAATGCATCAAACTTCTCGATTCATGCCGTCTATGATTGTAAACTTGATATTCACAAGATTTCCTCATCACAGTTCCAAAAGCTATCTTCTACGTGTGACAGCTTGAAAAATTCTTGTCCATTAGGTGATTGCTCGTGCGTAAATATTTCCCAACCTCAGACACACCACTGCTCAAAAGCAAAGGAAGAGTACATTTTGGATATCTGCGTGGTCATGCATGTTGCGCTAGAATAGTGGCTAAGTTATGTAATGCTTTCTGTTAACTCCGATGTAATACAAATCTCTTCGATACGGAGATTCTTCTCATGCATGAGAAACCGGAAACAGATTCGGCAATGTGAAATCATCGGCCTTTGATGAAAATTTTACGGGCACTGATCGAAGCTGAATAAGCACTTCCGTATTGTAATGGAGAATTCTGAACGACGAGATGTTTCACTACAAAATTCATCATGAACTTTTCCTGATATAATGATAGGGCAACCAAAGTGAGAGAAAATCTCACCGTTGCTTCAATCCTACATTGGAGACAGTTTACCACCTCAGGTTGTCAGCACTCCGCTAAACAGTGTAGCAAGTGTAGAATCAACGGCTTTTAGATATGCTGCGAGCGCACTAATTGAAGAAATTTTGGGAAAAAAGTGGTCTGTTTGTAGTGACGCATTGAACAAATCTATATTTTAACGCTATGAAAATTTTGTAAACTAACTCTTTTTCAAAACCTGCATCACTAATTAATCACATTTTTTATTGGTTGAGCCAGAGGCACGAAGTTGGTGAAAGTACGAATAGTAATAACGATAATAAGAAATAGAATGAAAATGAAGACCACGACTAAACGATGAGGACGGACGAATGTGGACGATCGATTCAGCTCTGAAGAAAACGAAAGACTCGAATGTTAGCCGAATATAGTTATTATACCCAATAATGTGGAGCGCTGTGCAAAAAACATTTGCGTCAGCCGGGATTCGAACCCAAATCTCACTCTTTCCGAAGGCGTATGCTAACTGTTGCACCACCGTGCGGAAACGAGGGTCCGTGGTGCAACGATTAGCGTACTCTCCCAGAAAGAGTGAGACCTGGGTTCGAATCCCGGCTGACGCGAATGTTTTTGCACAGCACTTCATATTATTGGGTATATTACAAGATTTTACCACCGCAACAAGCTGTCAAATAAAGGAATTCCAATTGATTATAATTATTAACTCCGACAACCTTGTACTTTTGACCTATTTAACAAAGAATAAATGATTGGACAGGAAGGAGTTTAAGCAAGCAACATTCTCTTTGAGACATCATCCATCAGAACCTATGATCATCGCCCTCCTATTTTGTGAGCAGCGTGTCAGCTTCGATTAACTCATTGCGAACGCGTGAATTTGTAAGGCTCTGCCGCTTAGGGCGGTCAAATTTTGATATTGTAAAAGGATGAAAGATAGAAGCTCTTGGGGTTGATCAACCCCTGATGGCTTTCAACTTCGTTTGAGGTGATTTAATGCATATCTGGCCTTTACAATGACTAGTGGTGGCTCCCGTCGAACCGAGTCAGTGCTGCTTATCCCAGAAAACAAGTCTGAGACTTGCCTGGTGCCAGTTACCGACCCCGGAAGGATGTATGGCTTGGTGAGCCATGAGCGCGAGATCGAACCACTGACCCTGTGTGCGACGCAGAGCACCTCTAGTCACTGCGCCTATGTGCTTTATTATAAATATACTGACCTTTTCAACAGAATATGTATCCGGCTGGCTTAGTCACAAAAAATTCACTCCCATACATGTTTCTGAACGTCGCAGCCGTTACTTATTCAAATCAGTGAGTTAATCGCTCACTGTGGAAAAAAGCGCTCCAACTTGAATGTATCAAAGGAACGTTCTGAAGCCATTGATTAGAGCAGCATAAAATCTGATTAGGTCACAGATTAAAAGAGGTGGGCGGAGTGTCACAGCGATTCAATTTTAAGATTTACCTGTAAATCATTTAGCAAATCAACATGTGGAAAGCCTTATTGGATTGATACTGACATGAAACTGAACTAAAGTGATTAAAGGCCTTTTTCATGTGAATAGAGTTTTTCTTTGGTTTTTACAAGTTATTATACTGTGCTTCAGTTTCTATTCTACGTTCTCAAGGTACTTCTACTAGTTGACAAATGGGGTAGTAACTTTTATAATATGACTGATTTGAGCGCATAGCCAAGGCTAAGCAGTTTAAGGTCGAGTTACGGTTTTTACTCTTAGGGATCTCCAAGTTTCTATGCTTCGCTTCAGTTTTGCCCTTCACGGACGATGATGGTTATTTTGACTCGCCACTCACTTAGTGTCCTCTAAAGGAAAGCAATGCGACGTATAACTAGACCGTACCTCAAATAGGACGGCGGGGGTATAGCTCAGTGGTAGAGCATTCGACTGCAGACCGAGAGGTCCGTGGTTCAACTTCGCGTGCCCCCTAAGTTTTGAATGTTGTGTCAGTCGGCCTTGTATGCACTTTTTCCTGGTCCTTCTCAAAAATTTTTCACATCCGACTTCGACACAACATATCGTTAACCGTTCTTCATTGAAGGGGCGTGAGTACGATTCAGTTTCACAGTATTCGACTGCGGACTGAGAGGTCCGTGGTTCCATGTGTCCGCTGGACTGTGAGTGTAGTAGTCATCCACCCTTGCGTGTACTTTCTTGTAGCTATCTGTGACAATCATCATTGTGTGCCTCGGTGGAAACGTAAAGCAACATATCGCTGGTTGTTCGTCAGCAGAAATCCGAGGGAATAGCTCAGTGGCAGAGCGATTCTGTCGCAGATCAAGAGGTCTGTGGCTCAACTACGCATGCACTCTAAACTTTAAATGCAGTGATAAGGACATCTAAGCATGGTTGTATGTAGCTTCATGAGCTCCAGAAAGACTAGAGCTGAAGATCGTATCAGGAGTGAGGGGCAAGGAATTGATGTATTGCCACTACCGTCATTTTGCTCAACCGTTCCATGCAGAGCAAGATCTAAACAGTGAAGTTTATTCAAATTTCCGGATAACTGCGCGCGAATCCTCAAAACTCTTTAGAACAAAAATGTGAATTTTGAGAGAATCGAGAACTGATCAGATTAAAAAGCATTAGACTAGCCAATAATGGTAAGTGTGCTGAGCTTGTGATAATTCCTCGTTAGGTAGATATAAGAAAACAAAGAAACATCTTATATATGCTTTAGATTTCGGCAGTCTCCCAAAAAGCGATTTAAAAACTAGCACTTGGATTGAATAACAAGTGTTCAGGAAAATATAGCAGTAATAAGTGTAATAGGTACAATGGCACTAGGCGCCGGACTGAAACTTCTTATTATGCAGCTTGAAATTCACTTATCAGCATGTCCAATCTTAGAAAAAAACCCATATGTTAATCCACTGATGATGTTGCCCTTAACGATCCATCAATCTACAAAGTAGCACCATCAACAGCTGTGCAGACGGACCTACGAATATCAGAGCACAGTTTCTCACTCTAATAATATCTCAGTTGTTGAAACACGTTCCACTACATCTCAGAAGCACTGAAGTGTTGTTAGGCCGTTTACGTAACGCGTCTCTCAGCAGCGCTTGCGTCATGGAGTCCTTCAGCTTCACCGCCATTCATACTGAAGTTTGATTGATTCCCGATTGTAGCTCATCCGTGAGCTCCTTATACAACACCTAGGAGCAACAAACATGTACAATTTGTCGGTTCAGCAGCTCATAACCTTTTTCAGTGATTGCTTGAACTGATTAATCCTTAGATTGTACGGGAAACATTTTCGCGCTCTCTTGATCATAACTCTTTCGGATGATTGCTTGAACTACTCAGTCTTTAGCGTGTGGGAAATATTTCGCACAAAAGAAGTTCTGGCAATGAGACAGCGACCGCCACCATTCATGCTATTGCCTTCATATCTTTAGTGGAAGGTTTCAAATTTAACCGTGTTTGTGTGGTTATCTGTTTCAAGACGGGATGGACAGGTGTTTCAACTCATGAGATGGACAGTTGAAGTGCATCAAAGTCACCGCTGGGAGCAAACTAAAACTCGGCTTCCAATTCTGAACGTTCGAATTAAGATTTACGAAAGCGGCTATATGATCAGGTGATACCAAAGCCAAAAAATATCACGACATTCACTCTCTAACTTCACATACAAAAAGGCACTTGTAAGAAACATGTTTCGGGCAACTATCAGTGTGTTCACAGGAAGATAACAGAGGTGTAATCCCTAAAACTAGCTTGACAAGTAGTCGATAGTCATTTGCAGCACTTAGGATATGGAGAATTAATGAGCGAGACTTTAAGGTCAAAGTAACCATTCTCGTGCAGGAGCATAGAATTTCACAGCGCTAAAACTTTCGAACCGCACTGGATCCATGCCAAGATCAAGATGAATCGAGAAGATGAGTGCCTCACCATCACTCGTGATATCGCACTATATCTCACGTCGGTTTTTATGGATCTGAACTAAGGGCATACCTCATGCAAGTAGAGCTCTATACGGTTGGTCAACATAATAACTGATGAAACCTTAAATGATAAAACCGCATCCAATGAAAGCTATTAATTATGCTTTTAAGTATTATGCATTAAATTCTATCTGCTTTATTATGGAAGCGTTCAGCCAAAGACATTGCGCCCTATTTTGACTCTCTTCACCTGTATCACCTGTCGTCCCGTTGATCGTCGAGTGACTTGAGCGGGTACCAGCAACTCTTCCATTTTTCCCTATCGCGTGCAAGAGTAGCCCAGTGGGTCCTCCTTGCTCTAGGAATTCGCTGAGCATCATATCTTTCTTCATCGCTTTTGTGAAGAAATCGCACCAACGGGTCAGTGGTCTTCCTTTAGAGCGCTTGACGTACCGAGGAATCCAGTCGGTAACGGCTCTCGTCCATCGGTTGTCGTTGAAGCGCATCACGTGTCCGGCCCACCTTATTTTCGATATCCTGGCGTGTAGAACGGCGTCTCTGATTTTCGATCGTTGACGTAGGTCGGAAGTTCGGATCCTTTGTCTCATTTGCGAAATACGAGATACTCCTAGCATCGACCTTTCGACTGCGCGTTCGATAACGGCAAGTGATCTTTCATCCTGCTTACGTAGCGACCAGGTTTCTGCTGCATACGTTAGGGCAGGGATAATTGTCGAGTCGAAAAGGTGGGCACGGAGTTGGATGTTCTTTGTCCTCTTCACTACATCTTCGATGCTCTTAAACGTTCCCCAAGCCGCTCGTTTCCTCCTGCTCAACTCTGGGGCTAGGTCGTTCATCATGTTGATTTCACGACCTAGATAGATGTAACTGGAGCATTCGGAAATTGTCGTTCCGTTGAGCGTGAATGGGGCATTAGAAACCCATCCGTTCCTCATGAACATTGTTTTCGTTAGATTCAGTTGAAGACCGATCTTTCCACAGGCGTTATCGAAATCAGTCAACATTCGTTCCGCTTGGCTGATGTTTGGTGTTATGAGAACGATATCGTCAGCAAAGCGAAGATGGTTTAAATGTCGACCGTCAATTTTCACTCCCATTTCGTCCCATTCTAATGTTCGCATGACGTTTTGTAGGGTGGCAGTGAATAGTTTTGGCGATATTGTATCGCCTTGTCGAACCCCTCTTCTTACGTCAATGGTGATATTGTTGTAGAATGGAGATATTCTGATCGTGAAATCTTTATAAAGCTCATGAAGGATCATTATGTACCGAGTAGGGACGCCCTGGTTATCCAGAGCCTCTATAACCGCTTCTGTTTCCACTGAATTTTGACTCTCTTAGACTCTGAAAAAGACGTAACCGCCAAAACGTCGCCATTTACTATTATCTGTCTTTACTGGATGGACATATTGTTAGCAATTTTGTGTCCGATCAACAAGAATCTTACAGTGCAGTGTTAACCATTCTCTCTCAAAACACCGAGGACATAGATCAGTGATAGAGTACTCCAGGGCAGATCGAAAAGACTGTTTTTTAACTCCTCTTATCTCCAATCTTGTCAATGTTCTACCAGGCAGCCTGTTTTTTGTTCAGTTGTTCTCAGTTGTGTTTGAAAACTATCAGATTGTGCCTTCGATGAGATCGTAAGCAATGTATTGCTAGTCGTTTTCTCTG